TTTCCAGAAAATTTGAATAGACAAACACACTACACATTTACCAACAATCTTCTAACAGCACATTGGAGAAATAGTTTTATTTATATCATGCAAATAAACTGGATTTCAGTGCAATTTAACTGGATTTCTTTGAGAGCTAGTGACACCATGTTTAATCGTTGCTCCTTCCGTAGAACATACCACTGCACCTCTTGTATACAGTACTAAATCCTGTATCTGTCTCCTGCACCCATTTAAGCCCTCCTATGGCTCCACATGAATGCACCAGGAACGTTCCATAAATGCACAAAGCCATACTCTTTATTCTGCCTTTTAAATTCAGTGCCAGTGCTCTAGTTCCCTCATTTTTGTCCAGCAATTAGAAGCAAAGTTTGGTATTTGAAGAATTTGCAACAAAGACACCTATGGGTCCTACAATATTGTTTTTATCATAAGCCAAAACAGTTTTGTGTCAAGTCTTCCCTTGTAAATATTATTTTCTCTTCCCATGGTCTAAATTGTATGTATTTGTCTAGATCAGTAAACTGGAGTTATCTAGAAAAGGAACAAGTAGTAAGGAGAAAAGGGCTAGCTTAATTTTGATAATATCTGCTAATAGACAAAAATAATGAAACATGATAATACAAATATCCCAGTAATAATTTCATTGCTGTCCAGGAACTTGTGATGCTATATGTTTAACTTGAAACAAATGATAATATAGCTTGAGAGTTAGGAAAGTAACTACTGCTCCAATGTGTTTCTGCTGATACACAGCCTTTCCCCTAATTACTGAAATCTTCCAACAATGTTTACCATTTCTAATCAGAATTGGTGATATCTCTGTTGGAAGGGTTTGGAATTAAAAAATGACAACTTCAGGAGAGGCACCATTTTAACTACAGCAATTTTCCCCAACCGTGATAAACACTTTCAGCCAAGTTCTTCTTTCAGTTTACTAATGAGAAGGGTCAGTATTCCTTAATAGTTTTAAGGGAAAAAGTCCAATATCATATGAGACAGAATAATTGTCTCTCATCCCCTGTACAGCCCTCTTTCAAAAACCTCTGGAGTAGATTTTTAAGAGTCAAAAGGGCTGCAGCTGCATGGGGGAAGCAACATTGTGTCCTTGTTCTACTGACAGAAGCAGTTCTGTTCATAGAACTTACCTGCATGCGACCCAAATCATTTTGAATTACTATCCAAAAATAGTGGAAACAAGGTTTACACTGATAGCTTGGATTGTACTTGTAGACCTTAATTCACATTTTTGGCAATATTTAAACCCACTATCCTTTTATATTGTGTTGATACACACTGAATTCTCATTCCACAAACATCTCTGGAAGTAGCAATGCAACATATCATCAGCAAAATTATGGAGAACATCTTTCTGGAGAACATCCAGACCTTTTGAATCATGTCTCATGACTACACCAATAATACCTTCTCTCTTTCTCTCTTTCACCTGATAAGGAGGCTGTTGAATTTCTGAACTGTTGCCTAAAACACAGTGGTGCCTCAGCTCACGAATGCCTTGGTTCACAACCAAATCGGGTCACAAACAAAAATTTCATGAAAATTTTGACTTGGGTCGTGAACTCCGCATTGGGTGGCAACCAAGATCATGGCCATCTCCCCACCCCCCTGAACGCAGTTGCGTTCGTGCAGAAAAGATGTGTGTGATCACAGGCGTGCTCCAGCGGGAAAGACGGGTACAATCTCGGCCATCTCCCCCGCCCCCATCAGCACGATCATGGCCATCTCCCCACACCCCCCAAGTAGGGAGATGGCCACGATCACAGTTGTGTTTGTGCAGGGAAGAAATAGAGGAGCTGATGACAGAAGAACTTGCTGAACTCCAGAGTGAGCAGCAGGAGGCACTTGCTGAGGAGGATTCCACTGAGGAAGAGGAAGACAGGGAGGAGGTTAGCAGTGATGTGATACAATCCATTATGAAAAAATGGAATGAGTGCCAGGATTTCTTTGAAAAGCACCACCCCAACATAACTGTAACGAACAGAGTGTTGAATCTTATGAACGATAACATGGTCTCTCATTTCTGGAGGGTTATGCAGCGCAGGAAAAAACAAGTGACTAT